ATAATAATGATAATAATAAATGATAATCGATTCTGATGGTTGAAATCCGTGCGTGACCGCCGTCGTTTTTCCCCCTTCGGATGGCTTCTTGGACGAGACGTTTTTTTTTTCTTTCAGACCGTCTTTAAGTGTTAAAACAAACCGCGGTAGGCTGCTGCTGCTGCTATACATTACACAGCAGCATCGCAGTCACCGTGGTGTATTAACCGCTATGTACGGGTACATTAGTCCTGTGTGTGTGTGTGTATATATATATGTATATATTAAAAAATTCATTTTTTTTTCTTCTTATTGTTTTTTAGCTCTACCGCGCTATCGTCCTTTTTCCGGTGTACGCGCGCGCTCGATTTTATTTTTTTTATATTAATTTTATTTCAATTCCACATGATAAACCAACGTAAAATTAAAAAAAAAAAAAAAGGATTTTTCGGGAAAAACTCCCACGATCCGCGTTTTATGAATGAACGCGCCGCCGCCGCCGCGTTATGATATTTTATACCTTATAACAGGTACCTGGTAAAAAAAAAAAAACAAGGAAGGGAGGGAGGATGGAATCGGTTTAAGAGTGTAAAAATGTATAGGCACGACGACGGTAGGTCGTTCATGAATGAAAACCGTCGAGTCACCGATCGAGCCACGCTAAGCTTTTCTTTTATCCACTTTAAATATGGTACTCTATTTTTTTTTTTTTTTTTTTGATTTTACAAATCAATATACATATTATTATACATACACACCGTGTGTTATTCGTGTATACTACTATATTCCATTGTTCGAGGCGAAAATTGTCGTTTTGTGCCGGAAATACCGGAAACACGGGCAAATCACCACCCAGGTTATACCTATACCTAGGTACCTACCTATCTAATAATATTATTACCCATATTTTATTACTACCATATTGTCGTTATTACATATCGACTACCCGCGTTGCTGTTGTTGTGAATACACAGCACTATAATAATAATAATAATTAAAAAACATAAACAGGTAGGTACGCTTAATTATATTTATACGAAACCGCGTTTTGCCGGCACCGCCCAGTGGTCGACGATATAATATTATTAGGTATGTTTTATATTATTATTATTATTAAAAAAACCGACAATTTTTTTATAATATGAAAATAAAAATTTCTGTGGCCGGCGATTGTACTATTGTTGTCTCCGTCGCCCCCTCCCCACTGCCCTCCCCTCTTTCTCCCCCTCGAGAATTGATTGATTTATGAATATTATTATTTATATATATTACATTATATTTTATTATTGTAATTCCGCAAATTCTCCAGGTCCGGTTGCCGCCGCCGACGACATGTAAATTTATGTCACGGCAGCTCAGTCGCATAACAATTGAATTGCGTTTTTTACCCCTTTTATTATTATTTTAATGTTTTCTTTTTTTTTCGTCATCATTATAATAATATTATATATATATATATATATATATATATACATGTATATATACCTAATATATATTATAATAATACCGGCAGAGAAACAACAACGGCGGCGGCGGCAGACCGTTTGTGTGTAAAGATACAAAGATGTGTCCGTATTGCGTTTAAGGATTTACACAATAATATTATATATACCTATATTATATATACTTAGGTGACTTCTTCAGGACCTAACGGGCTCTGGGGTGTGCTCTACGCGCCGCGGATAAGTAGGTAGGTGACCTGACCTATCTGTCAAATTGCGTTGAAAAAAAACGCTGATCCCAATTTTTTCCCGACCAGTGTGTGTGTGTGTGTGTGTGTAATAAAGAGCCGACGGACGACCGTGTCATCGTCGACATATAATGCGCCTTATGGTGTTATGCTGACCGGTCGCCGGGTTATCCATAAAAGTCCGGGGGTAAAGAGAGATGAAAAAAGAAACGAGTCCTGTGGGAAAACTCACCAACCCCCTCAGCCAGCCCAACGTCCGGGTCCACGGCGTCACGGGCCCAAGACGGATAAGTCGGTGGAAATCAGAATAATATACACTCAAAGAGAATGAGAGAGAGAGAGAGAGACTGTATATAATATACTGAACTACACTACTAGCTATGTATGACGACTACTGCTAGCTATGACGACGATGGTGGTGGTGGTGGTGGTGGTCTTCACTCTTCCCCCCAGGGACGAATAACACAAATAGGACGTATATACAGAGCAGTTTCGTGGATTTGCTCCAAGACCGGGGGTATCTAGTCGTAATTTTTGTCTTTTCTCCACCGGCACATATAAACACAATGCTCGCAATGTCCACAGTGCGCATATAATATTATATACCTTTATATTATATGTATGTACAAACCTACATGTGACCGCGTTCGGTGTGGCGATTTTTATAACCTCGGCCAGTCGGTTTATTATTATTATTATTATGTGTCATAGTCATAGGAGGCGCGCGTACCGTGTAAAACAGCAGAAAAAAAAATAACCCTAAAAACGGTTGTCGGTTTGTAAGTATAATAAAAAACGCAGCGTATGACACAACAGCTCTATATATATTGCTGCGTTGGGTCTGCCGAGACACTTTCGGATTTCACCTGCAGATGAGTAAGTAATCAGAAGCAAACGTGCCGGACTTAAGTTTCCCGGGGTTCGGTCAAACCCCCAAAGAAAAGTAGTCCAATTACTCTGATATTGCTTCCTTAAGGGGACACTACTTGAAACGTCCAGACTGTGCAGAATGTTCTAAAGACAGGCAAGACAAGCGTTAGGGGTGTAAATCACATTGTGAGCCGTTTGAAAATAAAGAATATATTATTTCCTAGAGAGTAATACATGGAAAATATTATAACAGCGTTAAAATTGACAATTTGAAAAATATAATAATGTCCTTGCAGCGTTGTACAAAGTATAAAATGGTTTTAATAAAATAAATAAATTAGTTTTACATAATGCGGTTGGCATGAAATCAAATTTTTAAATCGCCAACGTTCCTAAAATATTTCCCAAGTGTGATGATTATTCACAAAATATATTTTATTACACATAGACTGTTTTCAAAACCAACTGTGGTAAGCCCCACGATAGAATTTATAGTGTCACTATATTCAATCAAGAAGATGCAGAATACCCAAGCTGGCCTCTCGATTATTGTTTCACGTTTGAACACATTTATTTTAAATTTTACACGTTTGAAAACATCTCCTATAAATAATATATTACATATATTATTCGTTTACACTTTGAACTGTGTTGTGATCGAACCAGGCAAAGTTAAAAATATCATAAAGAGCGTGTGGTTTCATAAAACTGATTATCATTTATTATTTAATCATTGCCAATTTACTACTTGCAAAATTATGTTTGTTGCGCAACTTTTTATTTTCTATTATTGTATTTTAGGCGCATGAAGCAATAAATAGATGTAATAAGTTCCAAAAAAAAAATGTAAAAGCTTTTTTGTTATTTTTCTAAAAACTTTTTCGCGCTAATTATTATATGTTTTTATAATAATAGTATTTAAATCCGATCAAACGTTTCTAGGGGCTATTACTACACAAAGCAATATAATATCATTCACTTATCGGTCGTTTTAATGATCGTCCAAACGAAATGATTTCTAAAGCTTCGCTGTCGAGCAGCTTTATTTATTATTATTTATTATTTTGACATTGGAGAGGATGATTGTCATGAAACGTTTTAGGGGTTGGGGCGATTCATAAAAAGCGCCAGAGGGATTGATATTCATTTATTTTGGCACAATGGAGATGAAATATTTATTCTGCATTTCGTTTGCCAGCAAAGCGATATTGTATTGTTATCTTTGAATTAATGTCACGCTTAGAGTTTCGAGAATAATCTTTACAATAATAACAGAGTAGTAACCGAATTGTTGAAACCAGATTTTCGTTTAAATACATTTATTATTTTTTTTAACTTGAGCAAACAAATAATATTACTGTAAACACTATATTTAAGTCGAACGCCTTGTAACAGTTTTGGAGTTTTTCTAACTGAATTGAAATTTTAAAACAAAAATCTGTTTTGTAACAATTTCTATACTTTGTTTATTTCAGCTGATTAGGTCGTTTGTTTACGGTAAAGGACTTTGGGCTTATGCCGTTGGTCGTTTTTAGAGAGAAGACATTAGTAAGTGTATCTAAATGTTGGCGATGAAAATTCGTTCACCGACTTAACGTTACTTTTTTGGATTTCATATAAGTTTCATACTTAGTGGTCGATTCCGGTAACAATGTTTCGATTGTCTTTTAATAAAATAATAATATATTTAAAACGCGTTCACAGTTCACATTGACACTAGAGAAACCGACCTAAATTTGATATTTTTAAAAGAGACTGACCACACTTAAATATTTATTAGCACTTTTTTGGAGAGATAATTCGAAAAAAAAACACATTAATTGTATTTTATCGGTTTAGTTACTCGTGTAAAAGCGCGACAATTGAAAATAATAATTGGTTATGAAAAAAAAGTTTGTTGAAATTCAAAAAGGCGAAGAAACCGAATTTTCCCGCAGAGTAATTTAAAAATTGGATATATTTTTTTGGTTTGTTGCGCAGTTTACTTGAAACGGTAAATATAAGTTGGTTTTTTGGTGAAAAAAAACGTTTTTTTATTCGACTGGTATGGTATTATTTGTGAACAGATCAGCTATTGGACGTTGTAAAAAAAGAAAATCAACTTTTAGAAGACTTTTAAAAGAAAAATTGCTCACAGATTTTAATTGTGTTTATTTATCAAGTTAGTTGGATATAGGTAATTTTTTGCAAAATCTAAATTTAAAAGTTAAACCGGGATGTATATTAATTATTGGTTCATTAACTAGTGCTCTTTTTAGACTTTTTGCAGTAGCTTATTTAATTTTTCCATCCAAGCACGGTTGGCGCAAAACCGGAAAAGGGTACTTTGCTTTGCTCGAGGGCGATAGAACTCGGAAAGAGCCGTCTTGGGCTGCGCAGGGGCTGTTGTAAAGATGCGAGTTGTATTTTTCTGGGCTATTTTTCGAGGGGGGGAGCTGAAGAAAGCAAAAAAAGTACTAACCGTCGTAGTGATGATGATGATGATGGTGGTGGTTGTGGTGACCGTTGACGACGGCCGGTTCCAGTAGTCCCTGCAGGCCGCCGTCTTCCTCGGACCCGTCGTCGAGGACCTTGACCGGTCTCGACTGCTTCCTGCGGGACATGCGGACCGACGACAGAGTCCAGGGACTTCGAGGCAGGCGTAAGGAGGCGATGGTCGCGATCCGGCCCCCGGCAAAGGTAGGTATGTGCTTAGTGCGTTGACCGTTTAAATCCTCGTGCGTTCACTGCGCGGACACGGGCGAACCGTCGGTCGTCATGGTAGTAGTGTTAGATAAATGTCGATGACGGTTATTATTAATAATTTACTACCAACGCGGTCGGCACTCGTTCGGCGATCAAAGCCCGTCGGCGGATTCGGCCGTGACAATAGTGCTATCCGTAAGCATGATTTTTTTTTGGTAATTTTTTCGGATTTTTTTTTTTTGTATTAAGTAGGTACGTCTCGCGCGATACGATTGAATATTATCTAATGTTTTTTTTTTTAAGTAGGTGTTATTGTTGTTGTTATTGTCGCGGCGAGATTGCTGCTGTGTGGTTCGGCCGACCGACCGGTAAGCATGCCCGAACGAGACTGATGGACTGAGGGGGAACGGCGCGGTGGCCGCCGCTGCTGCTGCCGTGACGCGAGCGCGCGCCTTTCCCCGCAGGGGCAGAGGGGATTGGCTCGCGGATGGGCGTGCCGACGGGCCCGTCCAATGGATGACGGACTGGCGCTGGCACCGGCGGTCGCGGGGCACGAGGAAAACCGACGGGCGACGGGCGCGCGACGACCGAGGGAAAACGGGGAAAACAAAAAGGAAAAGCCAAAACCGGCGCGATTGGGGATAAGGAAAAATATATGTATACATATCATATGAGTACACCTATAACACACCGGTTATCGAAACGGCTCTGGGTAGTGTGTGAGAATGGGGGAATACCATAGTCAGCGGGTAATACCTACACCGGTCAATGGAATATCTCCTGGGACGTGATAGCTAAAATTTAGACGAGCACATAACTTGATAACGCCTGTATCGACAGTTTCTAATATATCACAAACTGGCAAGGATTGCATATTTTATTTGCTCATAATACCTATAGTCTATACCTAAATATTACAGCTTTTAAATGAAAAACATGTACATATTTAAAAAAAGTCTGATATGGGTGCGGTATTGCCCATATCAGACTGATACTGGTATTAGTCAAAACTGATGGGATACAGGATAATATCGGGATATTGGGAATATTGGGATACTGATCGCTACAGGATAATAACGGGATTTAACATAACCTATGTAATAACCTTATCTAACTATAATATTTCCATTAAACATACCTACAACGTCTTTGAACAATATCATCCAGTACAATAGGTCTGTACTGATAAAATGATATTTTGATCATAAATTGTATGTTTTTTAGGAACTTAAATTTTTCCCTATCGCTTTACATGTGTTTTTTGGTGACTGGTATTACGCCGCTATATGTGCAATGGCGGTCATTTGTACTTTTTTAATAAAAAAATTTAACTTAATTTTAAAAATCTGAAATTTGTATACAAAACACCTTACAAGTGTATAGTTAGATTTCAAGAAAGAACGGATTTCTGGATTTTAGGTACATATTTCATTAAATTTTTCAATAGTTTGAAAATTTTTATCACCAACCCTTATAAGTCAAAAAGGGGGATTTTCGGGTTTTTTAAACGGCAACATAAGTTTTTAATTGCGTAAATTTGTTATTTGTAGACAAAAAATTGAAAAAAATGTTAGCGTTTGAATTTTTTTATTTTTATTTCTCTGTTCATTAGCTATGACTGTAAAGATATACTACATATTTTCTTCTTAATAATTATCATATTTCTTCGGTTTTCCAAAGCCGGTAGCACATAAAACTTATATGTATGTTCACTTTGTCCAAATGGCGATAACATTCTAACAACTAGGAAGTCACTATAAAAGATTTTGAAATAATGATAGATAAACGGTTCTTATCTACAGATTACTTAGATTACAGGTTATTTATTATATCTGATTATGATACAGAGTACGGTAACACGTGAAATTCATTTTGTAATACAACTACTTGTCTTTGTAGTAACGAATGAAAATATTAACAAAAAAATTAATCTTTACAAAGTCACAGCTAATGAACAGATAAATGAAAATAAAAACTTCAACATTGCTGTTTTCTTTGCAAATAGTTGTGAAGGGTTAGGTTAGGTTATATTTTTTTTCCAGAAACAAAAATCAGTACGGCAAAGTTTATAATACAAACAAGTTATTTTAATTTAATAGACTGATGAACAACAGTTCTTTTATGTTTACAGTTTTAGTTTGTAATAAGAGGCCTAATTAAATACATGGCAAGTGGCAACCTAAAACATTATAGGTAACATCCGTTATCATAACACACATTTACTCACCAGGGTCATATTTCCTAGCTATCTACCCTTTAGGCGAGATAGGCACATGCTTATAACCTCCAAGTTAAAGGGGCCGCATAGTTCAATAATTATACAATCTTTATAAAAAATAAGAACCATAATCTATACTAGATGTTTGTCTGGATTTTGAAAACTAAGGCATCAAGTCTGTCTATTGTCCCATCGTTGCTGGCCTTTCACCTATTTGTCGAATTTATCTCAACGGTTCCTGGTGAACACAAATCTTTTAGGTTTACAGTTTCAGTTTGCCATAAGAGGCCTGTACAGACAAGCAGGGAATCTCAGCGTTCTCATAGTTAAGTACATTGCCACCGAAAAACAGCGAACCGATTGGAGTTGGAATAAAGTTCAAGAAATATTCCAGGAAATACCTCGACGACTTTTGCACTTAACTATATTATATCCGTACAAAATATATATTGATTAACTCAAACAGGACGACTATAGAGATAGTTTTCCGGTTAAGTACGGCGTTCACATTGGTTTACTGTCACGTTACGTTAAAGCGTACCTAAAAGCATTAACTAAAAAAAAAAACTAGGTTAAGACGAAAGACGTTGTTTACCTACTGTTTATACAGTGTAATAAAGTTCTTCGTTATAAGCAAAAAGTCTTTAATACGGGAAATGAGAATTCAAAATGACTTAGACATTTTATAATATAGTGTCTCGTTTCATTCGTTAGACAGTAATATAATTTCAAGAAGTTTTAAACAGAGTACTCTGTTGTGTTTTTAATATAAATGTTGGAGTGTATTCATGTCGAGTTCAACTACTATCTAATTGTGTCTTAAACAAATACTTAAATATATAAAAAAAAAAATAATCAAATAAATTATGGATTACACACCGGCGTAGGTACTAAGATAGCATATTATAATATATATATATTTTTTTTGTAAAAGAACGTTTTATTTCTCAAGAAGCTTAGCCACACGTGCCTTTCGCCATTATGTTTTGTATAATCCATGTCTGAGAAGCGCATTGTGTGTAATTTTTTTTTTTTTTACATGTACCTACAGAATTTTACAAACAATATAAACGTTATAAAATGCTAATTCGGTCGAGCGACTAGATATATATATATATATATACATTATAATATTATTAGACGTATCAAATAATTTCACTTCCGACCGGATACGAGATACGCGGATTAGCCGAGCAGAATTTATTTTTATAGCGTTGAACATCATAACAGTAATAATATATAATGAGAAACGTCCGGGTTGTCTGCGTTGGAGTTACGAGCAGTGTCTAAGAAATTTAAAGACCATACCGAGTACAGCATAAATTTAAAAAACCTAAACCGTTCACCGATCGTTTTACCAGTCCAATATACCTGCTCGGCCACAGCATCCAAACTGGAAGTCTGGACTTTGCTACAAAGGGGGTTGGTAAAACTTCCAAAACTCTTGTACAGGGTAGTCTGGCGTGGGAGTAGTCGATAGAACTAAATTACTTGCAAAAAACGTTAAACCAGACTAAACCGTATAGTGTTTGTCTTGGTGATGATAATTGTGCAAGTCTAAAATCATATTTTAATAATTAATAAATCTCATTAAGGACGGCTATATCGGTCGACACGGAATAGAGTATAAAAGATTGTTTTATTTTTTTGGTATTTACACATTAACAGCTCATCCGGATATTATGATAATAAAAATATATTATATCATCGACGAAAACGTTGAATGAGTTTTTCAGTGACTATAATAATAATAATATATTCGAAGATCAGATAAAAAGACACTACTTTACCCATTTTTTTTTTTGTTTTTATTAATAAGAAGATACCTTTTTTTTGTTGGTTTGAAATATTTTATTCATCGGCAAACGCAGTAAAAAAATAATAAAAACAACAACCCCCGAGTCCATTCAGTTGTTTTTTTATGGAAGAAGATTTGGTAGGCCGATAATTAGACTTGAACGAACTCACCCCCCGTAGCGTGCGCCCTTCGTGAAACCCATGTCATATACCTGACCTACCCTTGACCCTACGGTAAAAATATCAAATTAGACACAACACGGCAGAGAGGACCGAAGCAAGGAAGGTATACAAACCTTATGTAATAATAGCACAATAATATCGTACGCTATTGAATAAAATATCATTTTTCACTTTACCCCATTTGTATATATAAACACATATAATATACATACACACATACAATAGGTATAACGTTGTTGACCGCATGCAAAGCAAACGAAACCACACTGGACGGTGTAATGATGATTTTGCGGTCAAGTCACGAATTTGAATAATAATTGGCGATTTACATTTTTGAGTGTCATATTAGATATTGCATATATTATAGGTTTTTTTATATTGTTTTTTTTTTTTTTACAATAAGCCAATATAATATTCATTGAAATGTCCACTCACGTTCGTTCTAATTGGAAAACCGTCATAGTCAATATTAATGTAAGTTCGTTGGTTTTGTCGTTTTCATATAACTTTCTTCTCATTGAAAATACATATAATTACACATTAGGTAGTATATTTTCGTGTCATTATTATACGTTAGACAGGGAACGTTATTGTTTTTTTTTTTGACAAGATTTTTCAGTCGAAGACCTGTTGTTTGGTCCACTCCGTGGCAGGGGACTCTCTATATTATACATAAGGGGTTGTCGACGAGCCGCTGTTTGTCTGCGTTGATATCCCAAGAGACAGAGACGGTCGACTAGAGTGATTTTGCTTTAAACGTTACCAAAGTTTCTTTTCGTTCGGTTTAACCCCCTCGGGCGGCAATACCCCATTCTGGGTAAACACCGCTGTTGGCGTTAAAAGTCTCAATGAACTGAAGCAGTTGCTTAAACTTTTTAAGTGTAGAGTATCTTTTAAAAGTTAATTTACATAAACGCAGGGATATGATTTGTGAAAACCGATTGAGCTCCAGCTAAACTACCAGCCACCACTAGCCGCCACCTTTAACGTTCTTCTGCGTGCAGCGCACTTCTCAAAAGCTGTCACTGCTCGAGTTAATGAAAAAATATATTATAATATGATTCAATACTATGTTTGTTTAATGATTAATTATCGGAGGGGTCGGTTTGTTTATTTGGCGAACCGGCCGCGTCGGTGGAAAACTCATCAGCGGTTGCACCGAGTCGGTCCGGCGG